CATTGCCAGCAGATCAAGGGACGTGATCATTCCCCTCTATTCGACATTAGTGAGGCCTCACCTGGAGTACTGTGTCCAGTTTTGGGCCCCACACTACAAGAGGCTGTGGAAAAATTGGAAAGAGTCCAGTAGAGGGCAACAAAAATTATTAGAGGGCTGGAGCACATGACTTATGAGGAGAGGCTGAGGGAACTGTGATTGTTTAGTTTGCAGAAGAGAAGAATGAGGAGGGATTTGATAGCTGCTTTCAACTACTTGAAAGGGGGTTCCAAAGAGGATGGAGCTAGGCTGTTCTCAGTGGTGGCAGATGACAGAACAAGGAGTAATGGTTCCAAGTTGCAGTGCGGGAGGTTTAGGTTGGATATTAGGAAAAACTTTTTCACTAGGAGAGTGGTGAAGCACTGGAATGGGTTCCCTAGGGAGGTGGTGGAATCTCCTTCCTTAGAGGTTTTTAAGGTCAGGTTTGACAAAGCCCTGGCTGGGATGATTTAGTTGGGGATTGGTCCTGCTTTGAGCAGGGGGTTGGACTAGATGACCTCCTGAGGTCTCTTCCAACCCTGATATTCTATGATTGGCAACTAGAGAATAGTCTCCCTGAAAGGGAAATTTCTTCCTGATCACAGCGAGTTAATGCTTGGTTTATGTCCTGAAGTTGAGGGTTTATAGCCTTTATCAATTTTCTAATCTTTTGTTACTGTGATAATTGTTCATATATAATTTTACCTGAGGTAAGGATCTGTAAAATACAATGACATTGCTGGGTTTCCTACCCCTTAATTCACCCAATCTCCAATTTACTTCTAGGTATTATTTTTTATGGTTGTTTTTCAGTCAGGTCCTTACAAATTAATTAAGGCCAAGTGTTTCTCTTTTTAGCTTGCATCTGCTTTAGATAGAAGACTGAGGGCTTATCTACACTACAGACATTATGGCAGCACAGCTACAGTGCTGCACTTGTGCCACTGTAGTGCCATCATGTAGATGCTTGCTACAGTGACAAAAAGGGTTTTTCCATCACTGTGGTTAATCCATCCTCTCTGTCACCACCTAATCTGTCTACAACTGAATTGTTAATTGCATAGAGAGGCTCCTGTTTCCCTATACTTTTACTTCCTCCCACTCTCAGAGGTGAAGCTTAAGGGTGGGATCCACCAAGGGACTGACATTGCCGTGCTGAGCAGTCTGGCATCTAATTTCTTGGTGACTAGAAAAATCACAGGAATGACACTGCAATCCACAAGGCTGAATTAAGTGTTTAGGTTCCCTGTACAATCAACGTGATCCCCACAAGCCAGCTAGTGGCAGGAGCCACTTAAACTAGCCAATGGAGATGCTGGCCAGACAGGCATGTGCTAAGCCTCACCCCCCTCTCAAAGATAGACACCTAAATCTGGGCTGCAGGGAGGGCCAGAGCTCTGTTTAGCAATCCACAAGTAGGATCCCCTCTCCTGGAGTCAGGCAGTTTAAAGTGCCTAAGCTCTTTCTTGCCTTGCCTTGAGGCACACAAAGTGTCCAGAGGAGGTGTGGTAGTGCCACCACTGCCACCTTCTAACTTTTAGCCCAGTGGTTAGAGTACTCATGGGGGATGTGGGAGACCGAGGTTCAATTCCCCCCTCTCTAGCAGCAGAGGCAAAAGAATTTAAACAGGAGTCTCCACCAAACTTTAACCACGGACATGCTTTAATCACTGCAGTGTTGAATATTCTGATGGGGCCCCCCTCAATATCTCTTGGTGAAGCTGTGCCACTTCTAATGAATAATGAAAGAGTAAGTGGGCTATGGGAACTAGACCCGGGGTCTCCACCTCCCAGGTGGGTACCCTAACCATTGGACCAAAGAATAATTCCCAGCTCAATGACAATTTAAGCATTTGTCCATGATAGAACTATCCAGGGGCCTGAGAGTGTGCGAGAACGATTCTGTAGTTCAGTGTTTAGGGAAAGCACCTAGGAGGTGGGAGACCCCATATGCAACCCTTCTGCACCAATCACTCCTTAATTACTAGAACTTCAACAGGAGACACTGAGGAAGTCCGACATCAGCATATCACATAGCCCAGTGGCTAAAGCTCTCTCTTGAGAGGTGGGAGACCCTTATTCAAATTCTCTCCCCCTCTGGCGCACGGAGGTGGGAGTGAATTGAATCTGGGTCTCCTACATGCCAGGTGAGTTACAAGGTAGGCAGTGACAATTCTTCCTCCTCTGGCCAGACTTTGAATGGGAGCCAAACCCATAGGCAGACTGAGCACACCTGCTGGATTGGGCTCCAGCCACAATTTTAGGTGGCTTCCGCTGATTTGTGAATAGCTTTGGGGATTAAACAGGAAGATGGGGTGGGGGAAAAGGAAGAGATACCATGTGTGAGGCAGTGCATGTGCCCAGAGGCTGAAACATAGGCACCTCTGAAATTTAGCCAGCGAGTTTAGGCACTGAGAGGGGTCAGCAGCAATTTTGTGGATCATAGTGGAGGGGGAAGGGGGAAACAGAGGGAGACCTGGTGCTTAAATCTGGGGTTTAGGCTCCTAAGTACATTTGTGGATCCCATTGTGAGTCTTGATTTGTTACATCAGTACACAGATAAAACCTGTAAACACACTTCTTATATTACAATACTATATACAAATACCAGGGACAGATATAAGAACTGTGTGTTGGCTTTTAGACCAGTGGTTTTCAAACTATTTTACTGGTGACCCCTTTTACATAGCAAGTCTCTCTCTCGCTCTCTCTAGGCATACACACACACACACTTTATATATTTAACACCATTATAAATGCTGAAGGCAAAGCAGGGTTTGGGGTAGAGGCTGACAGCTCACAACCCCCTGAGGGGTCCTGAGCCCCAGTTTGAGAGCCCATTTTAGACATTGTGTGTAGATAGCAATAAATACATATAGCTGTTGTTCAGTTGATACAAGGATTTTTATTTTACTGGGGGGATGGGGGAGGAATGATTTAGGTTACCAAACTGCAACCTCTCTTAAGTGTTGGTTTGCTGACGTGTATAGTGGCTAAAATTCAGAGTACTGAAAAACTGAATAGCCAATACATGTTCAATGCAACACTCAGCTTAATGCAAGGCCAGGACCTGCAATGTATCACAGCTCAACACTATTTGCTAGCTAAAACAGATATTAATTCATATACTTCTATGAAAAATAAAGTTTATGTAAAGTGAGCAAGCCCGTCTAATCAATTGAGCAACCCCACATTTTTGAAGATAAAACCTAAGAAATTAACAATTTCTTTGAGTGGGTCTCAAAGAGTTTGTTTTCTTTGTTCCTCGCCACAGTAACTGTTGATTTAAGTATAATTATCCTAGGAGATTCAAATAATGTAGGTAAAGTTACTGATGTAACTCATTCTCTTTGACACAGCTGCTCCAAGCAGTTTCACATTCCTAGGTATTTCCTAGTGTGTTTAAAATGTCCTTATATGAAATAGCTATTACCTTTATTAAACCAGTTTATAAAGTAACCTACATTAACAAAAGACATTTACCAAACATTTAATTTCTATAACAGTGGAGTAACTTGAACATAGAATTTAAACAAAAGTTTGTTTTAACTTTAGTTTATTTCAAATAAAGACTTCCTTACACATCCCAACTTCAGCTTACTGTAGAAATCATAGCTCTGGGTTGAAGCTTTCTTATGTCAAGTGATAACATTGCTCCCAGTCAACATTATGTAATACTACATTATAATAAGGGGAATAGTGATTCGTACATGAACAAGGCTACTTTATGAACAGCCAGGATCTCCTGCAGAAAGTATCTTACTGGACTCATTATGAGGCTCAAGATATAGTGTGCAACCATGTCCACATCCCACTGTTCTTCATAAAGTTACCAAGGAATAGGGAGCCAACAGGGAGTGCATTAACACTAGTGTTTCTTGATACAGTTAAGGGAAATAGGGTTGATCTTTCAAGCTAATGTACACTTAACTGCCATTGACAACATCATATAGTATCCTTATTCAGAAAAGGTCAGGTAGATAGGAAACAAAGAAGAGTGTCCACATGGCTTTGGGGCAAGATGCACAATCAGTTCCCCACAAAATTTACTTTACAAACTATTAAGCTCTCAGATGAAGCAGAGCATGTTCCACAGCATGCAACCCTCATTCATGAGCCATAAGACAGACTGGCATTTCAATGCCTCTTTGTACAATAGTAGTGTACAACCTGCTAATTAGGGCATGGAGTGGGGAGGGGAACTGGAGGTTTGCCAGTATAAGCCAAACTGGCCTCAGCCCTTTGGGGATAAAAAGGTACAACATAAAGATATTGAATCTGTTTTGGTGGGCAAAGATACACTACATTTGGAACAGTTTCATCCAAAAACTTCAAAGGTGAGGGATTTTTTATTTTTTAGAGCTGTTCTATGCTTCCAATTGTACAACTGTACCCACCTAATTTTGAAAAAAAAAAAAAAAAAGTAAGCCCTACGTGTTTCTCTGTCAAAACTGAATGATCTTGAAATCAGTATAGCGTACACAAGTGTTTGACAGCAATTATGGGGTACTTTGTATTGATACTCTCATTGAGATTTCCAAGTCAGTGCAAGGGATTTACTCATTCTCCATTAAAAAAATCAAGCAGCAGTATGGCTGAATCCTCTGCACTGCTTTGAAAATTTCATTCTACTTCTGTTTACAATGAAAAAGTACCCTTGTCTAGGTATGAAAAATGCAACATATTTCATCTACATAGTCAAAAAAACCCACCTTTCTAGCATAAGAAATGCTAAACCAAGTAAAAATGTTAGTCTCAGCTGATTAAAGGATTTAATACTACCATTGTAGTCTGTTAATACTGTATATGATTTCAGAGCTTTGAGCATTTGAGAGCTGCCCCAGCAAATTTGTATGTAACATGTAAATCTGTTCATGAGAAGGGAAGGTTTACAATACACATGACCACTGCACAAGGAGAGTAATGGCTATAGCTAGAAGCAAACAGTGTTCTGTTACAAACATATGGAACATAATACAAGTATGCTATTGATATTAAGTCTTTAATGAGATACCTGTGATTTATAACATTGTCACATTTACGAATCTCGCCACATTTATAAGAGTTTGATTTTCATGCAGATAGTTCTACTGCTATTGAGAGCGAGATTTGCACATAGAGGCCAACAAGAACACTTCACTGTAACTCAAGGAAGTCAAACACCTTCTCCCTGCAGACTTGTTTTGAGTTATGTTTATTGAGGTTTAAGAAGTTATCCACATTTCTATAAATATAGACATTACTGAGTAAGTGACTTTCAATGTCACTAGTGCAGGTACATATATATAACCAACATACAGAAGCTCCACTGGAAGCTACTTCAATTCTTTCAAAAGGACCAGGGTGTCATAAAAAAAAAAAAACCAACAACAAAAAAAACAGCTGTCACTTTCAATTATTGAAAACACTAAAGTGCATTTTTGGTTGCCTTCTGGACAAACAGCTGCTGGCTATGAAGTTTGATTTTATACAGATATCAATACTTTACGTTGATTGACATTCAGCTGTTATCCTCTTAATACATGGCAGTAGGTAAGAATGCAGTAACTTTGCTGGTTGAGTAAGAGGAAATGATTCTTGCATTGCTCCTTTAAGACTGATATTTCTAATGGAAGTTTCAAGATGATCTAACATTGTGTTTTACAGCACCACTAAAGTTAATCTTAAAATTCAGGCTCTAGTTTAGCCCTTTTCATTTGCTAATCAAGATGTCTAGACAACTGTTTGAAGTTCTGTACCAGTAAGAAAAATTAATCTCCCTTCTCATTAGACATACTGTCCTGCCCAGTTAATACTGTTTGCGTACTTTGTAAACAAGAACAGCTTAAACATAATTAGAGCAGAACACAGGCCATCTTTAAACTGTTTTCCCAGTGTCAAGTGTTTAAAGCTTCTTTACATTCCTAACCACAAGCACTACAAAAACTTTAATAAAAAAGGCTATATAGAAAGTGACCTAGCAGTATAAGTAACAAACCTGGGCATTTTTGCAGATACAAAAAGTGTGCTCTGTTGACTTTAGCTCTCTTTATATTTCATGATGATCAAGTTTTATTGCCATCATCATCTAAAGAGCCCAGAATGCTGCACTGCTAAAAGTCTTGGGAGACCTAAATCGCTGTATGCACCTCCTTTACTGCACCAACAAATTTACTTTTGTGTTGATAACTTGGGGATGTCAGAGTAACTTAATTTTTTGAACAGCAAACAAAATTTCTGGAACAAGTCTCCAAATGACATGAGTGTATTCTAAACCCAGTTAGCACTGTATAACAATGCATAGCTATTTCTAAGAAGACTACACACCAAATCATGCTACATGTTGGGAAAACTAATCCATGCTCTTGCATGTTGTGTACTTGTCTAACAAGTCTTATTTCCTCTACCAGTTGAAGAATCCACAGCACTGAAGTTTCAAGTATTAGAACTAAAAGTGATTCAACTTCAAAAGTGCCAAATTAAAAACATACCATATAGCCAAACTCTCTCATGGAAATCATTACCAAAGAAGATAAAAAACCCCAAGGCTCACAGCATCCTGAAATAATGGATTACTAATTCCATACACGTTGTTGAAATCAATATTTTTAAAGCTGTATATATTCACCTAAAACACTCCACTTACGAGCATAAGAAGTTTAAAAACACTGAACGCCTTCAATGCAAATTTCTTGTAAAAATGCACCCTCAAATATATGAATACAAACACCAAGCAAAAAAACTCTCATTTTATTTGGCTATTTAGATATCCAAGTCACATTTACCCACCCATATCTTTCCTGATAGCTTTATATTACTTTATAGGGCATCCAAAATAATACAGTGCCAGAAACCTTGGAAAAACTATTTTCTGTTTTTGCTTTTCAAAAGGTTCTGTGTCTGCACAACTTCCACAAGGCAAGGATGTGCAACTGATTGTTTAACATAACTAAGCTTTAACAGCATCCAAGCAAGCAGGTCAGGCTTTGGAAGCTGTTATGTCAAATTCTGACCATGAAACTACTCTAAGATAGAAGTGTGGAAACAGAACTCATCTCTTCTTTTTCTGCTGTCTCAACATTTTTCTTCGCTTAATTATCATATCATGTAGTTTTTCAAGTCCCTCTTTAAGTCCATCCCCTATGATCGCACAGGTAGGCTGCAGATGCCAGGGGGTAGAAGAGCTCAGCTCGCTCATTGCTAACATCTTCTCGATTTCTGAGAGAGAGAGGGAATTCCTCAGGTCCTGTTTGTTAGCCACTATAAGGACAGGCACGCCTTGATTTTCAGATATCCTAGTAATTTTATGAAGTTCTGTCTTGGCTTCCTCCATTCTTTCGATGTCGACAGAGTCCACCACAAACACGATGCCATCCGTGCACCTGGTGTAGGACTTCCACAGGGGCCTGAGCTTCTCCTGGCCTCCCACGTCCCAGAAGTGGAAGGTGACCGTTTTCGAGCTGCCCAGCGTCACTTTGATTTTCTCCGTGTTAAACCCCTTGGTAGGCACAGTGTTGACGAACTCGTTGAACTGCAGCCTGTAGAGCACAGTGGTCTTGCCCGCCGAGTCGAGCCCCAGGATCACGATGTGGAAGCACTGGAAGGAGGGCAGGCTGGAGAGGATCGGCGTCTGGTCCGAGAGCCCATTCCCCATCGCCGGCGGCGGGGGGACAGCGAGCCGCCGCCGCCGACACAGGCACAGCCGGGCTCCCCTCGGCCGCCGAGCCGCACTCACAGGCGCGCCGCGCTCAGACCCTGCCAACGACAAGAGAGGCGTTAGCCCCGGTGACTGACCGGCCGCCCGCCCCGCCCCAGGCTGAGGGGAGCCGGGGACCTAGGTCCGCGCTCAACCCCACCACATGCCCCGAGCCCGCGCGCGCGCACCTCCCCCGGCTGGCGAAGCTAGCGCAGCCCGCACCTCACGCCGCTGGCGGCCCCATGTCTGCCCGAGCGCCCAGCACCGCAACAGCCACCAACTCGCCGCAACGCCGCCTCCTCAGCGTCTGCCGGAGTCCGAGGCAGAGCCTGCTCCTCCCAGCACAGACCAAACCCCGCCCCCTGCCCGCAGCGCGCCGCTCATTGGCTGCGGGGAGCTGCGGGGTGGGGAGTAAAGCGAGGGCCGCCTCCCATTGGCGCAGGCATCCGCCACTCACCAGGGGCCTCCGCGGCGCGTTCCCGTCCTCCCGGGTTTACACACGCGGGTGTGGGGCGGGGGCAGAGGAGAGGTCTGTACGTTATGCCCTCAAGGCAGAGCGCGCAGTGCACACTACGTCCCCCAGTCCGTCACCGCGGAACTCCAACGTAGCCACGCCCCCAACCTGCCCTCCTCGTGGGCGGTGGATGGAGCAACACCCCTCCCTGCTGCATAGCCCGGCACGTGCCCCAGCAGGAGGAGCCCCGCCCGCACCCCAAGAGCCCCGGATCTCCGTCCAGTCGGCAGCGACCGCCCTTCACCCAGGGCGGGGGACGGCACCTTTAAGCCGTAGAGACCCAGCGCTCTGTCGCCAGCAGCTACACCCAACACGGGAAGGGAGGGGGGCCGGTTAGCCTCCTTCCCTGGGACCCTGCCCCCTCCCGCCGTCCCCGCCTCCCTCGCCCTCAGGGAGAAGCGCGGAAATCCACCTCTGACCCACCAACTCCCGAGGGGGGCAGGGAGGGGTTTGAGGCTTCCCGCGCGCTCGCACACCCGGAACGTCATCGCCAATGGCCCCCCCATTGGCCCGGCCCACATCAGTCTCCTAGCAACCCGCTTCAAACGGCTCTGGCGCGTTCTTTTCCCCCTTGCGCCAACTCCTCCACCCTGTTGTGCTTGGGTCACGCCCTCTGCGCGAGCGCGGACCCCCCCATAGCGAGCGCCAGCCCAGCCACGTGGTCCCGAGGTAGGGGGCACGCGGTGCGCGCTGTTTGTGCTTCACGCCAGGTTCTGCGGCGAAGCTGCGGGCAGCGCCAGGCAGGTGTATCCGGAGTCCAGGGTGAGAACCTAGGCTCAGCTGGTAGCGCCTTGCCACCAGTGTGGGTGCTGGGCTCCCGCTGCTGCCCCCAGAGGTGACGAGTGGGGCGTGGCACATGGGGTCTCCTGGCCCCCCCTTTCTGCCGGGGTGGATATGGGAGGAGTTGGGGCTGAGAGGGACGTGCGTGGAAAAGGCACCGGCACCTACCGCTCCCAGGGCTGGCGGCACTGTTCTGCCGGAGGAGGAGCGGGGAAACCTGATTTACTTTTTCTAGACTCCTTGTTCCTCCTTTCCACCTTTTTCTCCGTTTTGCCTGACTCGTTTTCATAACTTGAATATCATCAGAGCTCCCTAATTCATTTAACTGTATACAGTACAAAAAACATTAATACCAAATCTCAGTTTTTTCTTAAGAAGATTATCGTCACCATCTTGTTTTCCATTTTTGATTCTACCTTTGCTGGTTGTTTGACCTTACAATTTAACCATTTTATTATAATGGGCAAAACAAAATAAAACACTAAGCATTGTTCCGTAATTTTGAAATCCACCGGATTATTTTTATGAGCTGAGTGGGTTCACATATTTAGAATTGAAAAGGAGTGAAATGAATGCATTTATTTAGATAACTTTTTAGTGAGGTTCTCTATTTTTATTCCATGTTTCAGATAGAGCACTATGAAGAGCAGATTTGAAACAGGTGCAAGCAAGAGACAGCAAAAACACCGGAGTGAAGCAGCAGCTAAGAGCTCAAAGCCAATAACTTCATTTCTCAAACCCTTGGAAAACACATTTTACCCAACAAACAATGCTCTAGATAAAACTCCGCAACTGCAATGGGTGATATTTCAATGCCAATACCTGAACATGAGGCCAGTAGTCAAGAAGGAAATGTGACAACAGTAACAGATGCAGCAGAAGATCCTGTGTACGATCAAGAAACTCAAGAGGAACGTGTAGATCTTATGCAGCAAGAGCAATTCATGAGTACTACAGGTTTGACTGTGACTGACATTGGAATTATTGACAAGAGCAATGCTGCCCAAATGCAATCTTTTCTTCAAATTACACCTCTACCCTGATATAACGCGACCTGATATACACGGGTTCGCATATAATGTGGTAAAGCAGCGCTCTGGGGGGGTGGGGCAGCACGCTCTGGCAGATCAGCCTGTCAGCGGGTCTGGTTCTGACACCTGTTCTGAGCGGCATGTTAAGAGTGCCGGGCCAGAGCCGAGGGGTGGATAAGGGACAGAAGGTCTTGGGGGGTGGTCAGGGGACAGGGAGCAAGGGGGGTTGGATGGTTCGGAGGTTCTGGAGGCAGGGCGGTCAGGGGATGGGGAACGGGGGCCTGTCGGGGCTGGGGTGTGGATAGGGGTTGGGGCAGTCAGGGGACAAGGAGCAGGGGTCTTAGATAGGGGGTGGGGTCTTGGTAGGGGTGGTTGGGGCGGGGGGGTCTCTGGAAGGGGTAGTCAGGGGACAAGAAGCAGGGGGGTTGAATGGGTCCGGGATTCTGAGGGGTCAGTCAGGGGGTGGGAAGTAGGTGGGGGCAGATAGGGGGCAGAGCCAGGCTGTTTAGGGAGGCACAGCCTTCCCTACCTGGCCCTCCATACAATTTTGAACCCTGATGTGGCCCTCGGGCCAAAAAATTTGCCCACCCATGCATTAGGCGTTCTCATCTCTCCCGCCTATTTTAATCTCGTTTCTAAATTGTGTGCAGTATTGGCTAAACTTAAGTTGTCTCGCTAGTTGTATTTTGGAAACATTGTAACTGTGCGCTGATACTTTCTAAACAAAACAAAAAAATTGTTTCCATTAATACGGTATTAAAATATCATTGACATGATGGCAAGTAGTTCACAGCTATGGAAACGAAAGGCATGGACAGTCAAAGAAAAATGGAAAGCTTTGGCCAGACTGAAATCAGGAATGAGCCAAGCAAAGGTCTCAAAAGAACTAGGTGTGGGGGAATCAGTATTAAGAGGGTGGATCAAAATTACAATCAATGCTAGTTGAACTGGATGAAAGTGAAAGCCTGGAAAGGAAGCACCTAAAAATTGCCCAGGATAACCAACTAGATAAATACTGCTCTATGTGGTTTACCCAAGAACGCTCTGACGGCACACTAATTTCTGGTGACATTATAAGGAAACAAGCGGAGAAATTGAAGAAGGATCTCGATTTTAGACGCTCGGGCGAGGACGCTTCTGCCCATCAAGGTAACAAATTTAAAGCTAGTAGTGGTTGGCTTAATCATTTTAAAAAACGTCATGGCATTTGGCAAGTATCAGAGGGGTAGCCGTGTTAACCTGGATCTGTAAAAAGCAACAAAGAGTCCTGTGGCACCTTATAGACTAACAGACATATTGGAGCATAAACTTTCGTGGGTGAATACCCACTTCGTTAGATGCCTGTAATGGAAATTTCCAGAGGTAGGTATAAATATGCAGGCAAGAATCAGTCTAGAGATAACGAGGTTAGTTCAATCAGGGAGGATGAGGCCCTATTCTAGCAGTTGAGTATGAACACCAAGGGAGGAGAAACTGCTTTTGTAGTTGGCTAGCCATTCACAGTCTTTGTTTAATCCTGAGCTGATGGCGTCATATTTGCAAATGAAGTGAAGTTCAGCAGTTTCTCTTTGAAGTCTGGTCCTGAAGTTTTTTTTGCTGCAGGATGGCTACCTTTAAATCTGCTATTGTGTGTCCAGGGAGGTCGAAGTGTTCTCCTACAGGTTTTTGTATATTGCCTTTCCTAATATCTGACTTGTGTCCATTTATCCTTTTACGTAGGGATTGTCCAGTTTGGCCGATGTACATAGCAGAGGGGCATTGCTGGCACGTGATGGCGTATATTAGAGTGGTGGATGTGCAGTTGAATGAAACGGTGATGTTGTGGCTGATCGGGTTAGGTCCTGTGATGATGTCGCTGGTGTAAATATGTGGGCTGAGTTGGCATCAAGGTTTGTTGCATGGATTGGTTCCTGAGTTACAGTTACTATGGTGCGGTGTGTGGTTGCTGGTGAGAATATGCTTAAGGTTGGTGGGTTGTCTGTGGGCAAGGACTGGCCTGCCTCCCAAGGCCTGTGAAAGCAAGGGATCGTTGTGCAGGGTGGTTTGTAGATCACTGGTGATGCGTTGGAGAGGTTTTAGCTGAGGACTGTAGATGATGGCCAGTGGAGTTCTGTTGGTTTCTTTCTTGGGCTTGTCTTGCAGCAGGAGGCTTCTGGGTACATGTCTGACTCTGTTAATTTGTTTCCTTATTTCCTCGTGCGGGTAGCGTAGTTTTGAGAATGCTTGGTGAAGATCTTGTAGGTGTTGGTCTCTGTCTGAGGGGTTGGAGCAAATGTGGTTGTACCTCAGCGCTTGGCTGTAGACGATGGATTGTGTGTTGTGTCAGAGATGGAAGCTGGAGGCATAAAGGTAGGCGTAGCGGTCGGTGAGTTTTCGGTATAGGGTGATGTTAACGTGACCGTCACTTATTTGTACCGTGGTGTCTTGGAAGTGGACCTTCCATGTAGATTGGTCCAGGCTGAGGTTGATGGTGGAGTGGAAGCTGTTGAAATCATGGTGGAATTCTTCCAGAGTCTCCTTCCCATGGGTCCAGATGATGAAGATGTCATCAATGTAGCATAGGTAGAGAAGGGGCGTGAGTGGACGAGAGCTGAGGAAGCGTTGTTCCAGGTCAGCCATAAAAATGTTGGCATATTGTGGGGCCATGCGGGTGCCCATAGCAGTGCCACTGGTCTGGAGGTATATATTGTCATCAAATTTGAAATAATTGTGCGTGAGGATAAAGTCACAGAGCTCAGCAACAAGTTGTGGTGTGGCATCATCAGGGATACTGTTCCTGACAGCTTGTATTCCATCTGTGTGTGGGATGTTTGTGTAGAGAGCCTCCACATCTATGGTGGCTAAGATGGTGTTTTCTGGAAGATCACCAATGCGTTGTAGTTTTCTCAGGAAGTCAGTGGTGTCAAGGAGATAGCTGGGAGTGCTAGTGGTGTAGGGTCTGAGTAGATATCCGGACAGTCCTTCAGTGAGAGTGCCAATTCCAGAGATGATGGGGCGTCCAGGATTTCCAGGTTTGTGGATCTTGGGTAGTAGATAGAATAACCCTGGT